TGACATAATTAACATTTTTGCAAGGACACGTATATCCTGACTTAAAATTGATACATTCATTAATTTTTATGCGTCACCCTGTATAAGCAATTCAAAAACTTTTAATCCAATGATAAATCACGATCATCATACTTTGCATATTTTGGATAGGATTTATTTAGCAAAATTTTGAGATGACGTCATCATTTTTAAGGGGGCGTTAATACGATAACTTTAAAAAGCCTACAAGATTTCAAAGCATTCGGTTCTGCAGTTACTCATTTAATCAATAAAATAAATTGATCCATTCATTTTTTTTGAGACACCATGTCTGTTGATAAACCATAAGTACAGTTATAATATTTTGCATATTTCAGAAAGGATTCGGAAAAAATTTGATATAACGTCAGCATTTTTTTGGAAGGGGGTTAGCGAATAAATTTTGATTAACGATTTACCATGGTTACGATAACCTTAAAACGTCATGAAAGGTAGAAAAAACATAAAAGTCAACCGATGGACTCGATTAGCTTACGCTAGTGAAGTAAAAATCACCACTCATAACATTAAAAAAAAATCAGGGTGAATACTACAAACAATAACCTAAACAGAACGTATAAAAAATTTTTTTGAAATATGTATGCATCAATTCTTCGCAATAAACACGCAGCAACCTTAGCTGTGAGGAATTTCTGTGAATTATGACCTCTTATAAAAGTCGTAAAGGAAGCGAATATTACCTGTAACCATCACAATGTTGAGTTTGTAATGCGACCTTTAACTAGGGAAAAATGACCGGTATGATCTACCGATTTAAGACAGCGGCGGATTCCTGCATTTGGAATTTATGCAAATCTTAAACATTTTCAACTTCCAAACTTTATTACTTTATTAAGTGCATATAAAATTTTTAAAAACAAAGAATACTATGTATTAAAAAAATATAAAATTTAAAAAGATCTATTTATACGAGAAGGATGTATTTCGTGAGCAAGCGTCTAGTGCGTAGGACTACAAATTTAGAACTATGATCAGATTCTAGAAAAGATTAATTTTGAAAATTTTAAAGGTGTAAGTTAAAAATTGCAGGCCTTCGACATAAACTTTTTTAAGAAACATACATGTCATTTTTGAGCAAAAGCTACACTACACGCATCAGGTCTTATTATTCAATAAAAAAATTAAATACCCTGCCATGGCCATCAACTTTTTGATAGGGATAAAAATATTCATTCTGATATGTACAATTAACACTAATTATAACGTTACTATACTTATAAGTTGCCATATTTCTGAAAAATTATATCAACCGCTGCCCAGATAAGTGACAAAATAAATCAGTACATATGTATAGTTTGTCAGATACTACAAGGTTATATGGCCCCATTAAACTTAAGAATGGGATCTTATAATTCCTTTTGTGTGTCTGATTACCGGCTCAATCCTAGCGTGATAAATCAAGGATTTGTCTCAATATCTTGCCACCTCAATATCTACTGTTGGGTAATCCGCTTAAACATTTTTGTACATTAAATCAACACAAACGCAATTTACAACTGTGGGTTTGCCTTATTATAGTCCTAGAGTGACTTCGTTTTTATGGCTGCATTCTATTGTGGATGAGTTAAGTTCCTCTACAATAGGCCTTTTTTTATCCACACCCATATCTCCAGAGAGATGGTTTATGGCACGACTATTTACACTTTCAATAGAACTCCTAATGTCTGCGATACTTAAGTTTACAGGCCATAAAAACGAAGTCACTCTGGGACTACTGTAACTGCTTCATTGTCGTCTTCACAATACCCTAATTTTACAACAGCCATATAACCTTGTAGTTTCTGACTGACTATACATGACTGTTGTTGAGAGACCGTGTATAAACAGTCTTAAAAAAGACATGAATTATTGTCCCACAGATAAAATGGCATATTATGGTGTATGTTCCAAACCATATTTTTTTATAAAATTTTGTGATGACGCAACTAATTTTTGTTAATTTTAAGACGAAAAGTATAACACGAATTCGGGAACAGACAACCTTGTCTGCTCCCGAATTTTCAAAAAAACGAAATAAGCCGTTTTTTATTTAATCAATAAAATAAAATGTGCAAAATATGATACTGATATCACGTTGAGTTTATTGATATAAATAAAACCCTATAATGTGTCAACCACCACGTCAAAATTACAAAAAGTACGAATTTTTATTAATTACTTCCCACAAAAAAACCGATGTTTTGCAATTGATCTGTTGAAAATGCTTTAAAAGTTTATTTACGAATAAACTTCTAGGATCTTTCCTCAATACAACAAAATATGCATCAATACCTGTTGATATTACATTAATTCGTACGTAAAAATCTTGTTAAAGTGTCGTTCGTTAAATAAAATGTTCTTTGATTTTGCGAATGTAATTTTTTATAACCCATACAAGTTAAAATATATGTATGTAATGTTAAAGTAAAGGTAAAGATGCTGCTATGTATTTGTTACAAGTGAGTTTTTTCATCATAAAATTTTGTGATGTCATCAGCATTTTATCAATTTGGTTAGTTGCAGTATATATAGTTTCCCCAGTTCTTATTCGGTTTTATGATAGTACTCCATTGTGTAAAAGTTAACTTCCTTAACAATAGATTACTACTGCAGGTGATGGGACAGTCATAAACAGGGGTTTAACCATGCCGTTACCATTATCTATATATATATATAAAAGGCAACGCGTTCATTTTATACCGAAGGCATCGTTTAAGAAAGAATTTCTCCAAATTCATCCTCTAAAGGGGTGAAAAGGGGTGGTAAAAGTGGTATAGGACCAACACTTCCACCGCAAATTTAAATTTTTACGTGAAACTTTGTATTAAAGCTCTTCACACAAATAATAAAACAGGCATTTCAGCATTTTTCGATATTCAACCCCTAAGGGGGTGAAAAGGGGTGCGCATGGGAAAAATATTTTTATGGTAATGTTTACTTAAAACCTAATAGTAATGCTCTTCAACACAAATAATGAATAATGAAAAAAGTAGTGTCTAATTTTGGGTGGCTAAGTTTGTACAGAACAATATTTCTACTATAAATTGAAATTTTTACATGAAACTTGGTATTAATGCTATTCAACGTAAATAATGAAACATGTATTTAAGCATTTACCAAGATTCAACCCCTAAGGGGGTGAACTGTGGAGGCCAAGTTTGCATAGGAAAATATTTCTATTGTAAATTTAAATTTTTACGTGAAACTTGGTATTAATGATCCTCAATACAAATAATGAAACACGTATTTAAGCATTTTCCGAGATGCAACCCCGACGGGGGTGAAAAGTGGTGGCGACATTTGTATAGGAAAAATATTTCTACTCTAAATTTTTACGTGGAACTTGGTAGTAATACTCTTCAACACAGATAGTGAAACACGTATTTCAAATAAATTTTTTTTGTATAAATAAATTTTTGATTTTTTTTTTTTTCAAAATCTGGATGTCTCAAATAAAAACTAAACACGGATTTATAAACTGCATGTGTAGGATTATGTTACTGAACACAACTTGAAACTCATTTACTATGTACAATTTTGAGATGATGTCATCAAATTGCTGGTGGGGATGAGTAGCCTAATTTTGGTAAGTGTTTTACCATCTACATGGTATTGCTAATATACATACATAATTTGACAACAATCAGACAGACAGACAGAAAGGGGAGACCTATTTCTTCGTACTCTAAGGAAAATGAAATGTCGAGAAAACATAAAAGTAGGGATGGACTCGATTACAATACTTCTTTAGCTTACGCTCGGAAAGTAAAAATAAAAATTGCACATAAGGTGTAAAAATTACAATTTTTGAAAATAATGAGAAAAAACATCGTAAGTGCTGAAATAAATTGATGCTGATGCTAGCCACAAGTGATAAGATATCCCTTATATGTATAAACTTTGTTCTAAAAGAAACTTTCTTCAAAAACTAAGATTCGGTGACACAGCCAATGAGACCGTTAACTTCAATAATAAGCACAACCCAATCGGTATGTGGGTTTGTCCTATACACTTTTATAAGGAAACAATGCAATATTACGACCTACCAAGCCATTTGTGGTAAAACTCTTATTAAAGTTGATTTACGGAAGCTGAATTAAATATTCAATTACAATAATTGAATTTTTAATGCGGCATTAAGAAGTACCACCAATCAGATGTCGTTAAACGCCACATTACGTGCATGATTAGTAACTTAAGCTAAATTATAATATTTTATAAACTGGCCCTTAATGTTTTTAACATTTTTTAGTTAATCGGGTGTCCGGATTTTTTGGGCGCTACTGTGTATACAACTTCTCGATTCGGTGCGTCCGACTGCGATACATTACATATTATAAAACTAAAATGAGCCAAGACATGTGAAAGTGAATTCTAAAAAACCATCGAGATCAGCAATTAAATATAACGATTTATTATCGCTTCAGCTTACTCTGTGTCAATCGTCGTTCGGAGAGTCCTCTGCGCTTTTCGTGTTTTATTATTACATACACCAGGTTTCAAATTGCCATCACATGTTCACACTTTATAGGTTAACACAAAATCGCTTCGATTATTCTGAACTAGAAGATAGCAAAACAATATAAATGATTCAAAAAGTTCGCACGTCGTACATAACAGCACAATATGGGTAAAATCAATTTTTTGCTAACCTGTCCTACTTAACTAGGAAGTTTCGTGAAAAAAATTACCCGTCACGTAAACGCAATCATTCCCCTGTAACCTATCTAATAATGGCAACATGACATCATCGTTTAAAACAAATGACTGAAAAACTTCACAATAAAAACGTGTAAATGCTACTTAATGAGTAACCTCAAACAAATCAACACTATATCTAGATCATTCCATGATTGCTACAATACGAAAAGGAGAACGTTCGACGTGAAAAAGCGAAACCTTCCGTGCGTCACTAGCGCAACATAAACACTCAAAAAAAAAATCGTTCCGACACAGGTCTGACTCTTGAGTCGCATACTCACGTGTGCCAACTACAAGTAAAAGTGACCACCCCGTATATCTCAATCAGCACAGCAATGCAACGTCCTTGAAATGAATAGCCCCCCGGCGTTTCTAAACAATAAATTGCGATCAGCAGTCCAAATTTCGGCAAACGCAGAGGTGTCTCCCAGGGTGTTTAATCAATGCCCCAAACACGCACTCGAACGCAAAATAACATATTTTAGTTCTGACAGTGGGTTCGAACCTGTACTGGTTTCACAACCGGCGTAACTTTAAAAACAACACACGCAGCCGATTTCTCTTATCACTGTAACGTAAACGTGCAAACAAGCGATCCACACAAGCACCTCACTATTTAAAAACCGAGAAACGCTTTTGTTGTTTACGGTCGAAGCGAGCAGCTTGGGGGTAGATGGTGGATGGAAAAATCGAGGGAAACGGAATTGGCGCCAATTTTCAGCGATTTTTCCGCCGATCGGCACCGATCGCAGTTGGGATTAATGTTAATTCCAATTGTACTCACTTGAATGCATTGTTTCCGACGAATTTCCGAATTTTAAACACAAACTTTTCGGATACTTATGGCGTCTCTATAGCCGTGCCGTACGTATACCTCTTGCCGCTGTTGTCGCTTGTCGGTCATTTCTCCGTGTGTGTTTCACGCTTCCACCAATGAGAGGACTCGATCTATCTCTGTCTGGCCAATAACATGGCAACCGAGCACGCTACCTAAAGCTGCCTTTACGTGCGGCAGAGTACGAGCTGACGTGAAAATGTTAGGTAACGGCACGATAGCGAATAAGATTAGATTGTGTATTTTTTTAATAAACAACAGAGAAATACGGTCCTGAAATAATTGCATCATAATGTCGGAAACATTTAAAATGTTTGGTTTACTTCTTGTTTAAATGGCATAAATCAGAGTTTTTTAAGGCTATTTTTTGTCTCAGTCATTTGAAAAACGGACTAATTATTTTTCTAATTATTTTATAACGAGGGTTAGAACTTCGGAAACGAATGAATTTGGTCAAATCATATCTCGAATATTGCTAACTGTTAGAAATGACATAAGAAAGATGTTCACAAATCAAAAAGATGCGAAAGATGCCGTTCTCTCTTTCTCCTTTTCTCTCTGTCGGCGAGTCGTCTTTGAGCACATACATAAAATAATACCGAGCACATAAAATGGTTTTATTTGATTAAAAGAATATCTCATAGTCATCATTTTATTTAAACCAAATAAAATAATCAGTGACAATCAGTTAATAATTAGGTATTACATTTTATTATTGTATACTATTTCAAGTGATAAAAATAAATATCTTGAATTCCATTCAATTGTTTAATAATAATTAAAAATAAATAGTTGAAATGTCTGTACCTTCCGATACACATTTTTTGAAGTTACGTTTTTTCTTAAAGAAAGTGTAAAAAAGTACTTTTTTTATAAATGTCTCAACTCTTGTAAATATCTCAATCAAATAATCTACATATTTTACACATTCTGAAATTCCAGAACAAACATGTTTTATCAGAGATAAATAATGGATGATAAATTCTGTAATTTTTATATTTAATGAATAAATATATTTCTAAGAAATATCGCTTATGCTCGATCTTTATCATAATTCATAACATAACATAGATAAATTTTAAATTGATAAGAGATATCAATTCGCACCCGCGTATTTGAAATCAACCAGTAGTGTAACAAGTTTACTGTGAGAGAGAGGTCCGATAAAGTGCTTTGCTCTTTTAATTTCAGAATCTTTCGTGGCCTACCTACAATATATAGAGTTATAGAGCCTAAAAAATTAAAAACGCAACCAATAACGTCAATGTAAATACACAAAACAGATAACTTTACTTTTTACTTTTTTTTAAATAGTATGAAATAACAAAGACGGTTTGAAATTGTATTTCTGGTTCTCGTGGATAACCTGTAGTAATAGGTAAAAATTCCACTCTATTTTATTCGATTAATAAAATACGTAACATTTAATAATCTAAAAATTTCTCATTTTCTGTACAATTTTAAACATTACTTGACGCAGAGTAGCTAAATTTTAAATTTAAATCCAAAATGATATATCCCGGATAATTTCTATCCATCCAAAGTGGTATAAGTGACTTTTACCCTACTAAAAAAAAAAATAAAAAATTGAGACAAATTTGTTACTACAGAAGTATTTGGAAATGTAACGTAGCATCTTATACATAGCCTGACTTTCTGGTATAACCTTATAACACTTACGGTAGAAAATGATCTACATACAGTAAGTAAGTATTATTTATATGAGAGAATGAAAATTGATTTCATTGTATTGTTACTGAAAAACAACAAATAAAATAAAATCAGTCGATTTACAACCTACATTAGCGAGACATAAAGATATTAAAATTATCTTGTACATATTACATATTTATTAGATCATATTATATACGCTGAAAGTTTTGAATTGGCAGCAAATATTACCGAGCGAGCAGTAAAAAAACACAATCAAAGACAGTCATGTATTTTTGAAGGTTTGTCTTTGATAGAATTTTCATCGATCAAATACAAACTTTGAAAAATCCATGGTTGCCTTCGATCATGTTTTTTATAGCTTACGCACTACATATACTATATATTTTATATATAAAAAAAACTGGACAAATAATAGTAACGTGAACGTCTTATTCCCACTGCTTTTCACTAATCTATGCTGTATGGGAACCTGATTTACTAATCTCGTCCAGTTTTTGTTTTTAATAAAATAGTAGTGTGCCCGTCTAAAAATGATTATAGTCACAGGTTATGTTTATCTACCGTTATAAAAAAATCTTAAGCAATTGACTCATTGTATTCTCATTTCGGCATGTTAATGATACATAAAAAAAAAAAAATATTTAAAACCAGCTTGTGTACAAGGAATACCTGAAAATAAAAAAAAAACAAAAAAGTAAATATAATACGTACTTAATTAATCCATATACATACTAAATAATTTGATAGTATACTTGGACATACAACTAAACTACAGTAAAAGAGGAAAATTGGTAATGTATTAAATTGTTAGATAAATATACTAAATATAATCAAATCCATCTAATGCAAAATGTTGCAACTTTTCTTTTTTTATTGTATATTTTTACTTTTAAGTAATGGTTTCAATAAGATAAAAAACAATATTTTTTGGCACCTACAAATAATAAAAAATGTGAGACATAATTTTTCAGGTGTTACGAAACGTCGAGAAAACGTGAAATTAGCTATTCGCCAGATGGATCGTATTGCAATACTATTTTAGCTTTAGCTTACCTACTTTCGGGAAATAAAAACAAAAACTTTTTAAAAATATGTTTATTCCGCAAGCTCCAAAATAATGACAAGCTTAAACTTGGATAAATAAGCAGCGGTATAACCATCTCATATTTTTAAGGGTATGCCTTGTTATACATGTTATTTCACTTATATTTTTGTTTTGTAATGCTAATGAGTGTTTACACTAAAAGTGCGTCACTTCGCTTGTTGGTAGTTTTCAGGAATCTCAAACAAGATTTAATAATGAGCTTTGAAAATAGGGATTTCCTTCTCTTTAATCTTATTATAACGTTACAGTACATGATAAGTATGTGTAATCGTAATCGTAGCGTTTAACCCACATTATTATTTTCCATAAGACCACTAATTACGATTTTTTTGATCACTGTGTATTATAGCAAGTAGTAAAAATTTATTCAACTCACGTGCTGAAACGGCAAAGATCTATTGGTTATCGCAGAACTTCCGCCGCAATTACGGTCGCAAACTACATTGACGTTCACAAGGTCACGATTGCTAGTAAACGCACCATTACCACTGACATTTTCGCAACGGCTAGTACCAACTTAACATTGCGTTTACAATTAGCAATTCTTTTACAATTTTTTCTTCGTTCGCGAAATGGAGTGGAGGTCGACGAAGAGTTGGTTGGCAAAAGTGCCAGTTCACATCGATAACCACAAGTGACTATTGCTAAAATCGACCAATTTCTCAAGTGAGTTTTGTTCTGTTTATTCAACCGTGAACTTGTCATAAAACGAAAAAACAAGAAAAAATAGTATACCAACAAGATAACGACAGTAATATATGTAATGTGATAACCAAACACTGCTAAACAATCCAACAGTGACAATTACACTCATTCCTGTTTAATACTCTACATTAACAAACACCTTCATGAGGGGCCACAGGAAAAAGGGGTCCTTGTCAAAATGAAGATGACATTGTCGTCGCCAAACAGCAGTACTAATGAGAAATTAACAACACCACCAGAAAATAAGTAAGCACACTTGGTTTCGAATAGTTTTATGTGATAAATTTGCGATGGTCTGTGCAGGCAATCAAGCCCCAACAGTAGCCCTAGGAGCAGTCCGCGACCCTCCCCTAGACCTCAAACTAAAAGGGAACATCCAAAACCGGAATCTCATTTGACCGTAAATTACAAAGAACCCCCCGTCAGTAATAAACACGACGGATCACCATCTGTAAGTACAAGTTATATAAAGTGATTGTTTGTATTTCTGGAAAGTAATTATTATGAAACAACGCGCCTGAAAATGGCCAGCGTTGTAAAATCGCTTATCATTGTATATAATTATCAGAGGTGCAATTAGTTTGATAATGTGCTGCTGTGTGATAATGTGAAATATAATCATTGAACAATGCTCAGTTATTGGTTCTAAAAAAGTGATGTTGAAGGAACTAGTATTTACTTAGTGACTGATAAAATGAAACGATACAACTATGTATATGTTTAAATTCCCCCTAATAAAGTAATGCTAGAACCATTGAAATGGTAAGCAGGGAGTGATTGAGTTTCGGTGAAATTTTTTCTTTTCTAGAGTCAGGAGGGGTCAGTAAGCAGCCGCATTAGTAACATAGAAATCGGATCTCCTTCTGATCAAAATAAACCAGAAAGTAGTGGTAGCTCAAATAAAGACAGGAAAGAAACACGAGGAAAGAAGAAGTCGTCGTGGTTTAACTCCTTCTATCCAACTTACAAATCTCGATCGGGTGATTTTAAAAGAATCTTCAAAGAAGTACCTGATGATGAACGTTTAGTTGTGGGTAAGCGGCGCTGTTTTACTTAATGTTGACTTTATTAATGACTGTTTATTCACCTATTAATTAAACATAAAAAATTGCGTGTTAATTTTAAAAAAGCGCTTTAAAGTTTTAACAATTATGTTAATTGAAATGTTACCCAATCTGTCCTTCCCGAGAAGGAAACCGTTTTTTTGACACACATTTTATTATGAATGGACCTGGTAATAAACGTGCTTATCGCAGCCGTGGGAGACACGGATTGAGCAACGTGATAAGAACAGTTATCAGTAAATTGCGCTGGCTGGATCGACACAGTGAAGCAAAGGTAAATAATTGTTTTATTAAATTCCAGATTATTCGTGTGCGTTGCAAAAAGAAATCCTAGTGCAAGGTAGGCTGTACGTAACGCAAAACTATCTGTGTTTCTATGCAAACATTTTTGGCTGGGAGACTACTGTTACGTTAAAATGGAAAGAAGTATCCGCTATAACCAAAGAAAAAACCGCAAGAGTTATACCGAACGCTGTGTTAATATGTACGAGAACGGAAAAATATTTTTTTACGAGTTTTGTAGCCAGAGACAAAACGTATTTGATGTTGTTTCGAGTTTGGCAGAATGCTCTTATGGATCAACCTATGACACCGCAAGAAATGTGGCAATGGGTATGTTGAATTTTGCCAACTCGAATAACATTGGATGGTTACCTTAGAATTGTGGTTATTTCAATATTCCCGTTTTTATAGGTGCATCAGTGTTATGGTGATGAGTTGGGATTAACAAGTGATGACGAGGATTATGTAGCACCTGGCACTGAGGAAGATAAATTGTCTGCGCGATTGTCAGTCGAATCTTTTTCTGAGGTGAGTTGAACCCTCTATATATAACGGAATACAGTCGTGTTTTTATTTTATTTATTTTTTATTAATTGTAAGAGACAGATGTCAATGTCAACGTGATTGATAGTTTACAGATAACGAAAAATTCGTGTTACATTTGGTTATTGTGACGTTAAAATTGTTTGTTATCAAAACCGCCTTAACTTTGCATTAAAAAATAATTAATTAAAATGTGTTTTCGTGTTGTTTGTTTTTATTATTCAGCGTTAGGTAGCAGCGCTTTCAAATATCTACTGATAAGTAGATGAGCTAAAGCTATATGGTTAAATAATATGAAACGTGGGAAATATTCAGCGGAAAATTCGCACTAATTTTACGTCATTGTGGATGTGGTTTGCTTAAGTACTAAAATACCGGAATTTCCAGTTACTGTACAATCAACCTAAAACTTAGTGGTGTGTCCATCATGTGGCTGTTTTATATTTAAATGTTATTACAAATCCGTATTACGTAAATAATATTGCAAAAGTTTTCAATTTTTTAATTTTCTTAGCTGCTCTACACGGAAATTATACACAATGTTGTTTTTTTTTTTTTTTCAGTTTAGTTAAAGTGCGTAACTTTACACTACTTAACTATTTCTCAGGGCTAAATTTAATTAAAAAAATGACAGTAAAACGGTAAATGTTTATTTTATTTTATTTTGTATTTCATCCAATACTTTATAATACAAACCTAATTATCGTGACTTTAAACATATAAAATGGTGCAAAATTCACTATTAAGATAAAAACTGTGATTTTATAGCTCACTAGTATTTGAAGAATTAAAACATGTATGCTAAAGAGATTTTTATTTTATTAATTGTTGCAACCGCCGTCGGAGTCGCGTATTTTGTTCGAAACTGAGTTGTACATATAACCCTTTGCTATACTGGACGATTTCATCCACCGTTTCACTGTTGTGGATTTGTTGAAGAACGCTACAGACTGTGTCCAGCATATGACTTATTTCAGGTAATTACCTGAGCAGTGATTGGAACAATTACTTTTAAAAATTAATACATTACAATTACTCATTATTCAGTAACAATAGCAATTCATTACAATTACAAATTACTTTTTTTAAAAGGAATTCATTACAGTTACTCATTACTTTTAAAAAGTAATGCATTACTTTAACAATTACTTTTTCCACTTTGAAAAATTTAATGAAGACACAATTTTACATATTTGTTGTATGGGTCCAAAGGGTAAAGAAAAAACGTGTTAACAATGGAAATGGCAGTGAGTGATTTATTGTACTAAAGCATTTGTTACATATTCACATCAGTAAATAAAATAAAACAAATAAATACTTCACGCAAGAGGACGACATACATAATTTAAATTCAGTAATAACTGACATTCAAAATTTTCGTCAGCTAAGGCATGACGTTTTGTCTTAAAAACATCCGCGCCAACACTAAACATCCTTTCCACTGCGGCGCTAGATGGAACTGTTGTGGGGAAACATGTGACATATTTTACCAAAAATTGAAGAGTCGATTCTTTTGCGCCTAATTTCATTCCAGTCTAGCTACAAATAAAAGTTCGATGCCAACTGCAACAACTTTTAAACAAAAATTTGCATTGGTGGGAATTTTCAGAATATCTTATTGACTATGTGATGTATCGTAAATATTAGTCCACCGATAATTATTTGCGGACGCAAATCTTTTAATCTTCTTTAATTGCCTCTTACTTGGCGTTGTGATCACAGTATAGATATCATTCAGTAGGGACAACTCGCTATTTTTGCTGATCCGTTTTCATGGGTGGTCGTTTGTCTTGTGACCGTATGAGGGCGCGCAACGCAAGGTACTTCTTTTTCTTACACATTGGGACATTGAACTGCGGTACTTTGGTTATCTAGTGACTTTAATGTGAAATATTTGAAATTTGGCAGTTTAGTTGCATTGGATTTGATGGTTTAAGGCTGATCTCCCGGTGTAATTATTGCAGTCAAGTGGAATTTTCAGAGCCATTTTAAAAAGCATTGTTCATGTTTTGATGGGACCATTGCTGACTGTTTAATTTTTGTGTAAAAAAATTAAATGTACATATATTAGCGTTTACTAATAACGTTGAATTTTATAACCATTTACAACTATCATGGAAAATAAATTAATGAAACGTAAAATCGTAATCAGAGAAGCGGGGCCAAATTTGAATTTCAACACGGCATCTCTATTATAGGATAGGGCGCTTAATTCATTATTTATTACAATAGACTGTGTGATTTCTAACATCAACTAGTTACAAAATGTTATTGTTATTACACTGTTTTTAATTCCTTTCCAAAAATTCATTTGCACAAAGTGTAGTAAATTGTGTACACGAATCAATTTTAACATTTTCAAATGAAGCGTTTGTGATACTTTTTAAATAGGGTGGCGACATCTAGAAATATATTGGGCAACGACCACCGATGACGGCTTAAAATCCTGGTCAGAAAGATCAAAGGCGCCGACACAAGTTGTCCCTACTGATTGATCTCTATACAGATTAAATTGTGACTTACAGATTAAATTTAGAAAACGTTAAGAGGATGGACACTCTCATAAAATTTTATTGTCGGATTATGAGGGGTTTAAAAGGACAGGCTCTATCGGTTACCTGTTATAGATTTGAGTGGACTAGAAAAATGGCTAAAGTTTGTTTGACCACAAATTCTAAATATTCTGCCCCTGTTTATTTTATTTCTGTAAAGCGCAATGGATTTTTTAATACAATTTCTATTAACGTACGTTTCTGAAAATTTAATATTGATCCATAAATAGCGAAAACCAGATAATCTCATACTCATCACAATTTTAACGCGTTGTTGTGTAGGTTTTTTTTTTGACAACAAAATTAAAAAAAACGGAAGCAGTCTGGGTAGGGTTTTTTATGCTCATTTCAACGGTGTGAAGTTTATTACAATTGGACGTATATTTTTAGCAAAAACTTAGGCAGAAGTTTATATGTACATATTTCCCTATTAATTATATTAAGAGTCTGACTATGTATATACGTGGAATTTGTGTGCATATCATGTAGAATGCAACTCCTTCAACTTTTAGAACCGCGATATCTTGAGAATGGTGAATCTTAGGAAAAAAAGTATAAGGATCATTTTTGTAGATAATTTTATGATCTACAATTTTTGTCTGTAGTATATTTTTGAAAAAATTTAGTGTTTTCGAGAAAAATCTAAAAAACCAAAAATGTTGACCTTTGACCTTGAATAACTTTTTTAGCACACATGGGATCTATGGGGATTTTTACCACTTTATTTCTACTGGTGTACCCAAGGTCTCTACCAAAATTCAGCTTTGTGGGAGTTTTTGTTATTTGAAATGTCTATTTTGACCGGACTATATGCTGGAATATGTTTTAGCTCACCCTTAAAATGATGAAGAGCTTATGTATATTATGGTTACCTGGTTTCTTAACAAATTTTGTGCTAAACTCGTTTTAGATTTTAACTCCGTACTGGGGTTAATCTTCTCTTTGTAGGGACGAACCAGCAGTTCAGGTAAACGATTCATAGAGAAAAACAAAACAATATTTTTTTGTATTGAGGTTAAAAGTAATTGTAAAAGTGACTGAATTACTTAAAAAAGTAATTCGTTACAATTGCTCATTACTTGAAAAGGGATTGAATTACTTCCAACCACTGTACCTGAGGTACCTCAGACGAGGTGTAGATTCCAACTGGTTGAATATGCAATTTCTTTTTTGTAATGAAGGTAGAATCTACGGTGTGAAATATTTTTGGTAAAATATTTTCTGCAAAGAACGTCGAAAGTCATTCCGTGATGATTACGGAACTTGATACAACTGGAAGCACCTAATATGCCTATACGATTTAGAAGAATAAGAAATAAATAAATACATAGTTTGATTTAAATGTAAGAAAATTTAAGTAACACCTTTATCATCATGTTGCGATTGCTAGGTGCTACTTTCACAATTTTCCACGTTCGTTCTCCAAAATTTTAACCTTGCGAGACTTTTGAGATCACAATTTTCCCTATTTTGAAATGCCATCATTTCGAGAAATATTTCATCCATTTTAAAGTAGATGATAATATATAATAATAATATGCAGCTTGAACTAACTATCCCGTAACTTTATGCGGGTTACAAATAGTTTTTGCAATGCTTTCATTTTTCAAAAAATTAGGCAATGTTGACTTTTACTTTCTAGGTATGAGATTAGATTAGGGAGAATGTAAAAGAGTCCGTCTAGCGAGTGGCTAATTTTATGTTTTCAAATTAAAAATACTTTTACCATAGTAAACGTTAATCAAAATTTCTCTATTCGTCTCGAACAGAATTTGATGACGTCATCTTAAAATTTTTGTAAGTAAATCGATTTAAATTTTATAAAATATGTAATATATTCTATATTTGTGGTTTATTACTTCGCCGTTATTTTTTACTTTGGAGAATTAGATTTTTGGAAAAAAAAATCATAAAATGTAAAAAAAGTTGAACATTTATTTAAAAAAAAATACAGAAGTAATTAGTCTAGACTTTAACGTAATGCTTTAACATATTACCAAAATTTGTCTAAGACAAAACCCCAAAATGGTCACGCTTCTGTGAGCGACAGAAGTACTGTTTAAACTCTGAGCCATTTATTTTGTATTCATTCACCGTAACAACTACGCATGATCGCTATATTAGCTTTTTATAATTTAATTTATTAACGTTGTTAAAAGGCGGTAGATAAAATTATGCTTAGCATGTAACACACATTTGCCACTTACATAAGTCACAGAAATAACGAAATAAAATTGGTCTAAAATTATTTCGACAGAACTTCCCTCGCTGCTGAAGTACAGACCAACAGATCGCGCTTGTTTGAAAAATTGTAAAATTTGATTTTGCGAATAATTTTTTTGTGATAACTTACAAAAAAAAAAATGGTCCAAGGTTACTTCGACAGAACTTCCCGCGCGCTTGAAGTACAATCCAACGAATTCCGCTTCTTTG